TATCGTCTTTGCCTCTGATGTTGTTGCAAGAGCTTCTTCGAACATAGTACCGATGAGCCATGATAATACCAACAACCCATCATTGTTTAGCCACATCTTAATCTTATATTGAGCCTTGCTTTGCTCCTTTTTTTTTTTTTTTCCCTTTTCTGAGATTTTCTTTGTAACATAGTTGGATATATCCAAGTCTCTGAATCAAAGACAAAACTTACGACTTTCGGAAAAATAAATAAATAAATAAATGCACTTTACTTGATTGAGATAAGATTGACACACTAATAAAACAGCTGAATTGTAGTCTTGAGTTTATCTCGAAACTCTTAAAGATAGAGCAACAACGAAGAAGAAAAGATGTGACAATTCTTTTTACTCATATTCTCTTGGTTACAATAAGATATTATTGTACAAGTCTTTATACACAAAAGTTTCTAATGTTAAAAATTACTGTAATGAAATAATATGGAAAAAAAGAAAGAAAGAAAGAATTCTAATGATTTCACTGATCATCATTTATAATTTGATTGCCATAGTCACATTTATTTTATGAGATTACATTGATTTTCTTTTGTTGAGTTTAAGTCTGTCAGGGATTAAATCACACAATTTAGTAATTGACAGTGATTATCAACTATAACAGTGCATCTTCAAGGACTTGAATTTTGTGAAGATATAAGGAAGTTTATTATATATATATATATATATATATATATATAATTAATTAATGTGTGTTTCTTACCTTTGATATGATTGAATAAAATCGATTTTTATTTTTTTAAAATTAAAAATTATATATATATATATATATATATGTATAAATTATTTTTTATCATGAATCGTTGGGTTGAATTGGAACTGCAACCCAATCCCCCCCCCCCCCCCTTACTTGGTGATTTCTAAAAATCAAAGACCATAATTAAAACATCCGAATTCGATTTTGATTCAAAACCAATAAACCGTTCAATTGGACTTCAATTCGAACTCAAACCTATTCAGCCCTGCATCGCATAGTCTAATACTCTACTCTATACCGAATCATCAAACGTTCCACCCAAAAGATAAAAGCAGTGAGCCTTAATCCTCACCGGAAAAAAGGATCGCTAAGGTCAGCAAACCCCCTACCTTGAGGCTGTCTCAAGAAGGTGCCCCTTACTTTGTGGGTGTGTCGCACAGCATTGGCTCCGCACTTCAAATGTGGCCCCTACCTTCGGGCACAAGAAAAACCAAAAAAGCATTCTTAGGTGGATGTAAACGCAGTGACCAATCGCCGGTGGACAAGAAAGAAAAAAAAAAGAAAAGAAAAAGGTTTATTAACCAGTGAGTTGAGTTGAAAACCTCTTTTCTTTTTTTTCTTTTTTCTTCTTCTTCTTCTTCTTCTTTTTATCAAAGGTGAAGTCCATCAGCTGAGAAGCGAGACAGATGAGTGTGGCTAGGTTGGACGCGTTAAATTCTTGCAGGTAAACATTAGTTAACAAAGAAATCCCCCACATTCCACTCATTATAATTTGAAGGATCACTTATCATTAATTTTAATTTTTAACCCACGAAACATGTTGGTGAATTTTTAGCTAAACATTTATATATTTTCTTAAAGTAATAAATTATTTTTTTATTAAACATGTTGGCACTCTTTTTTTTTTTTTACTTGTATAGTTTCTTTCTTTTTCTATTCGTAAATATTTTTATATTCGATCTGATCTACCGATTAAACTTAATAACTTATCTTTTTTTTAAGTAAAATTAATTTGATTAGGTTTTAAGTGCGTACAAAATAATTTTATCTACACAAGTCATAGACTAAAGCCTGATACAATCTAAAAAAATATAAAACTGTCTCACTCCAATAGACTAGAATAGTCAAATAAAAAGATGGTCATAACCACATGTGCTGCATGCTAATTCATTATATTAACGCACAACTTGCATACTCGTCTTGAATTAAGCATGCGGGAGAAAATTTAAATCGTGATTACTTTCGGGCATCATAACTTGTTCTCTTTAGAGATTAAAAAAGTTTGCATCGTCTTCTCATAAGCTTTTTGATTGGTGTTAGAATTGGTTCCACTTGGTGAGTCCTGAAAGTAGCTCCGATGACAAATCAGGGAAGTGATAGTGGTAAACCAAGAAACTCTTCATCGTCTCACAAGGGCAAGTACATTAGCGTTAATCCCGATTCTAGTCTTGGAATCAGCAATTCTCTAATTCGAAATCACTATCGAACGATTTTAATTTAGGAACTACCGATTGCGAACTGGAACTCCTTTTTTAGTTTTGAATTATCTCTCCGATCAATCGTTTAGAAAACAGTTAAAATGACATATTCATCGGCTTTTAGGTCTTTTGATTTTATTAACCGATTTCCCATTCATATTTGAGATTATATATGAATTGAAATCGAATAATTAGAATATGATTATTTGACACCAAATCGAAAGCTCTAAGCCGCGTCTATTTAGTTTTTTTTTATTTCGGTTTGAATCCCAAATCGTGATCAAAATTTCAAATCGATTAAATCATCACAAAACAAAGACCAGTGTGTTTTGTCAAAAAATAAAAAATAAATAAAAGATTGATTTTTTTTATAAATTAGACTCAATTTTAGGTGTTCTTGTCAATTAAATTAATAAACACCAAATAAGATTTTGAATCATTTGTCGACATTACTTTAAAACCACGTGCCACTTCTTTATTGCATACTTGCATAAAAGAAATCAATCTAATTCCTTTTTCTCCTCAATAATTATTGGGACATGGAAAATTAATCAAGAGAGATTTTACAATATTTTGACCTCAACATGAAGAGAGGGCATATATCAGGTGCTCAACATTAATTGTATCCCTAGTTTGTTTTTTTGTTTTTTGTTTTCTGTTTTTTGTTGGAGGTGTGTTGTTTTTCCTATTTTTGAAAGATGCCCTTAATTGTATCCCTGAGATATTTTCCGATAAGATAAACTCGAGTAGTAATGTCCAGATATATATATATATATATATATATATATATATATATATATATATATATATATATTATTAATCAATTCATATGATAAATTAGTTTATTTTTTTTAATTGTAATATTTTTTAATAGACTTATATTATTTTGATGAAAAGTGCCAAAAACATTATCTTCATATTTAATTATGTTTATTTCTAACTCAATAAAGATATTTATTTGAAACCTTATTTTTTGCGTTACTATTGAGTTCATTTACTTAATTATAGTATTTTTTAATAAGCTTTTAATATAATTTTGATAGAGGTATCAAAAATAATATAAATTTATTAAAAAAAACAACACTAGTGCCTATTTGAAACCTTATTTTTACAGTAAAGGTTGATTGTTATTTGGTTTTGGATCCATTTATTTCAGCAGTTACAGTGAATATACTTATAATATATCGATTGATGTGCTAAAAATATTATAAATATATTTAAAAAATATTATCAGCATTGACAATATAAATCTATACATGAGAGATTAGGATCAATTCAGTGTCTATAGGCTGATTTATAAATTATAAATGCTATTCTAATCATCTTATAGTTTAGGGATTATGATAAATATATGATGTTCTTTAAAAATATGAAAAATGAGCTAAAAAAAAAAAACACTCCCCCACAAATGGTCAAATAGTTTCTATAACACTATCTCGTTAATCTCGTCTACTCTATCCGTAGTGCTAAAAAGGGATATATGCTAGTTAAACATGTAATTTAAGTTGGACATATGTCTCCAGTTTATAATATCAGCATCTTCACAGCCAGTATTGTTTACGTTCAACTCTGCTAACACCTGTTCATCGAGAGGGAGAGAGAGAGAGAGAGAGAGACTTAAAAGCAAAAAATAATTATCATTACTTACCTTGTCTTATTTAATTGCAAAGTATCCAAAGAATACTAACCAACATGTAATAAGTTGTCTCGAGCAATTATATAAATCTAGATCATGTATTTTGTGAAGAATAAGAAGGATAAGGATGAGATTCCGAGTTTGTAAACGGAGAAAAAGACATTGAAGAACAGTTTGATACGAGTAGGAATGTAAGAAGAAACTATACAGAAAATCGTCTTCTTCATGAAAAACTTCATTGAGGGGACTATAACGAGAAAGTAATGACCGATTAATATTTTTTGCAAAAGCTAAGTTAATTAAGTTGGATGCAAGGATGAGAATTTAAATCCTTGCATATATATATATATATATATATATATATATATAATCCGGATTAGTTTCCCAAACAAAATAAATTGTGGAACAACTCGTGTTTCCTCTTCAGTTTATTTATCAAGCAAAAGCAAAAAAAAAAAAAAGAAAAAAAAAAACTCATCAAAGATCTAAACTATCCTCCAATTGATTGTGTACATCAGTATTTATTTGAAGTATATAGAAAATACTGTTGTCATGAAACAGTTATGATGAGATATGCTGCGGTTTCACCAGCAGAAGCCATATGATTGATTCAAGTAACCCCCAAAGAGCTGGAGACATCCCAGAAGCTGTCAAGTGTTCTTAAAGGTGATGAGATGAGGAAAAGGGGGAAGGTGGAGAGCACAACATTGATTGATAAGCTGTTCCAACTCAACTCGGGAAGCTTTATGCTGACCCCACCACAGCAAGCTGTTCCAACCGAGGAGGAAGAGGAGAATGGCTTTTGCGGTGGCCCCACACCCCATCAGGCTTTGGCGAGCTTATCCACATCAGAAAAGCAACCAAACCAAAACCAAACCAAACCAAACCAAACCCAACCCCAATCTGTCCGTTAACTCCTCCCCAAATCTCACCCCCACGCCCCTCTCTCTCCTTCAAACCCTTGCTCTCTCTCACCATCCATCAAGTGCTGCGTGTCCCTCTCTGAACCCCACCGACCCATTTGGCCAAGCCCTCCCCATCACCCACGGCCAACCCATGCATCTCCTCTCCTCCCCTCCTCCACTGGGGGCGGGGCGCGGGGCCGGTTTGGTGAAAGGTTAGTGTATAGGAAGGCTCAGCCAGCCAAGCAGCAGCTGCTCGTTTTGGTCCTGGCAACAGAAGCCGTAGTCCCCACACAGCGAGAGAGAGAGAGAGAGAGAGAGAGAGAGAGAGAGGGCAGAAGAGCACTTGCGTCCAGAGCTTTTCCACTGGTCTCCCCACTAGAAAGGTAAGTGTTTTGTGCTGTGTGAGAAGGGCTGGATGCCATTTGTTTATTCTGGATCATTCCATGTTTTTTTTTTCCTTCTCTTTTGTTCCTTTCTTCTATCGAAAAAACTTGACGGGGAGAATTGCTTTTTTGCAATCAGCAGGTCCCTCTCTTCGCCCGCCCGACCTTATTCCCCATCATTCTCTCAGGAATCCCCTTTCTGAAGAATCCATGAATCAAGACTTGTGCTTTCTTCCCTTCACCACCCCGTCTTATTCACCGTAACCACCACCATCATCGTCAACACCATTCTTCATTCTTCCCCTGCTTTCCCTCCTCTTTCCCCTCGGGTCAAAACCACCAGTTTAGACTCTTCTGGGCTTTTGGAGGAGTCTGCTGCGGTCTTTTAGCTCCGATTGCAGTTTTGAGCTACGAAATATTTGATCTTCCTGCCGTCTGGTGCATCTCTTGTTTGATTCCGGGAGATTAGGGTCCGGGAAGTACTGAGGGATTTCTTCTTACATTCCTCTCATGGGTTTTCGATAGCTCAACGATCTCCTCAGCAGCGGTCTGTTGCCATCTTCGTCACCGAAAACCAGATCGAGCAGTGTTCGTCCCTCCGGCGAGCGGCCGAGTACCACCCTATCACGGTCATTCTTCTCGGTCAGCTATCGTTTGTCGGCGCTGTCATCGTGGCCGCACATCAGGCGAGCACTCCTCATCCATCCCTTGGTAAGTTGCTCCCCTTCCTCCTCCTCCTCTCTCTCTCATCCTTCCTGACAAAAAAAAGTTTCCCATGCCTCCATACCTCAGTCTGCTCTGTTTCCCAGACTGCTTTCCCTTGCCCTTACTTTATTCCATAGATTTGCCTTTCTGAGACCGCCCACGCTGCTCGCTTATACCAACTCCCGGGTTCCTAATGATGTGATCGAGTTTGATGTCCTCCTCAATTTCATGGTCAAGATCAGATAATCACCGACAATACTACATGGTCCCAAGCTTCCCAACAGTTAACTTTCTAATGATCTTTCCTCATTCTAAGATGAAAACTTGTGTACAAATGCAACACTGTTTAGGGGTACGGACTGGTCAATAATAAAGAGTAAAGTCAAGAATAAGCAATTGAGTTTAGGGCCTGTAATCAATTTATGATATGCTCCAACATATTTGGTCCTAAGCAAAAATCTTAGGACAAGTGATTTGCCTTCCTAGACAGACCACATTTTGCATACATCATATACAAACTGTACACCGAAATCCTTGGAGACCATTCAACTATAAGATTCTCACTGTCATGTAAATTAGTTGGATTTCACTTGTAAGATTATGGACATCCTGGTTGATTACTAATTCTGAATATTATATATTTTTGAATAATCAAAATTTCTACATTCTGAACACAATTTTCAAGCTATTATTTAAAACTAAGAGGGAAAAAATTGATTTTTTTGAGAATTAAAGTCGAACTTGACTGTTTGCTAGACCTTTCATCATTCATTGATCTAAATAAGTAATATAGTTTACAAAGAATTAATACTGCAAGATCAAGCAACATATTGTTTGGATGTAACAAATGGAATATCACCTGGTCAGAAGTGTTGCCTTTGATATTCCATTTGGCTAAACATGAAAAGATTTTGGAAGGTTCGTGTAAAAGAACAAATTCTATCAGTTTGAAGGTTTGTGTAAAAGAACTTGGTCATCTGGTGATCAATTCATTCATATAGTGCTTACTATTATAGTCAACTGAATTTGCATAATTTTGATTAGGAATACTAAATTTGGAAGACTCATCATCACCTGCTGCTTGCTAATTCTTAATTGATGGTGTCTTCGATCATATAGCTACTGTCTTTGATCACATGACTTTCTGTATCTTTATTTGAGGTACTCATTTGAATTGCAATATTGACGCATGGTCATTGGAAGTTATTTTACCAAACCGACTGCTCTGTAGGTTGCATCAGCAATAAAACTAGGCTATCAACTGGATTGTAACAACATATGTGAAGAGAGAAGCAAAGGCTTTCTTTTTCACATTATTCTTCTATTTTGACTAATAGTTTTAGCATATGCAATTGGAAATTAGAACCAAGAGAACTATTTCAAGGTTTTGTTCAACAGTGAATTTATTCACAATCAACATTTTAACATCTAATTAGACAAGTTTGGTTAAACATTCTTTTAGAAAGTTTGGGTAACTGTGTAATCATTTAGTATTGAATACCTTGATGGGATAAGCATTCTAACAAAAGCTAAATCAACTTTATATCATTGTTTTTTTTCCGTCACTACAACATTTCAGAATGTAATTGTTGTGTCACTGATGCATTTAGTGATACTTGATATTGAATATGACTATCAAGTATCAAGAAGCCTCACTGGAATAATTTTTCAAATAAAAAACAATCTTTTCCCTCTTTATGTTTGTAGACACAGCAGGACGTTTAACAACTGGCTTATGTTTACAGTAACCGCAGTTAGATACGAGAAGTACTAAACTGCTGCTTTGAATGAGTTCTTTGCCTGCATTTGGATCTGGGATTGGTCTTTCTATACCTGAGCTTGATGGTATGTTGGTGGGCTATTTCTGATATACCCATGAATTGGTTTATTGATGCTCAAATAATGGAGCAGAGGACTGGTTATCTTAGTGACAAGAGCAGTCTATGGTTGGAATTGTCAAAGAAGCTCTCAGTAAGGGATTGGAGGAATCACCTCTGCAATCACTACTTTGGATCAAAGGTCAGAGGGACATGGTGGAGGAAGCTTCTGTTCTTGTGGGTAGCTGGATGGTTACTTGGTTCTCTATGGATCTTCTGGTTTATGAACTCCCAAGCAGTGGAGAAGAGGCGAGAGACACTTGCAAGCATGTGTGATGAACGTGCTAGGATGCTTCAGGACCAGTTTAATGTCAGCATGAACCATCTTCAGGCCCTAGCAATTCTGATCTCAACATTTCACCACTCTAAGGAGCCATCTGCCATTGATCAGGTACTGACTTTTTCCTGAATTATTCCTACCTTTCAACTGAAAGTTCAATAGTATCTATATTTTGTCTGGACCAAATTACTTGATCCTTGATTTGATCAAAATGTCTTTTGTGTTTGATTCAGTTTCCTGAAAGGGGAAAGAACTACATGTATTACTATAATGGAACCTTTTCCCATTTCAAAGATCAACAATGTGAAAGATGAATCCTTGTTTTTGCAGATAACCTTTTCTAGGTATGCTGAAAGGACTGCTTTTGAGAGACCGTTGACCAGTGGTGTAGCATATGCTGTGAAGGTGCTGCATTCAGAAAGAGAACAGTTTGAGAAGCAACAAGGTTGGAGAATTAAGAGAATGGATTCGACAGAGCAGTCCCCAGCTTGGGAGGAAGATGCAGATCTTGTGAATGAAGAGACATCCCGTGTGCAAGGAGAATATGCTCCTGTTATCTTTGCCCAAGACACTTATAAACATGTAATTTCATTTGATATGTTAACCGGAAAGGTGAGACATTATATATGTTTTTTCAGGCTCAGTTATTTTCTTTGTTATCTACAAACTATAGTCACAAATATCTCACTCAGTTATTTTCTTTATTATCTGCGAACTATGGTCGCAAATATCTCATAGATACTGCTTGTTACAGAAGGATAAGGCAATAGGTTATAGCATGCATTTTTTTAGTTAGGTCTTAATATTTTGTTAATAGCGCTCTAATGGCCATTATTGTTGCCTCTAATTATTTGCATTTATCACTACATATGCACTATTGTCTTCTTCTAGTATCTTTTAAATCTTTCAGTGGAAAAATTGTCAATGACATCGTATCATATGGAGTTCAGTTAATCATCATTTAATTAATATATGAATACTTTATATTGCAGATGCAATATCTTTCATTAAAGTCTCTGTAAACTATTGATTTTTCTACAACTATTTATCTAATTAGGTGTGACCTTAGCAAATACTCTGCAGTTTGGATAGTTTTGGTCAGTCATTGGTCAGTATTAATCATTAATATGCTTTCGGCATTATTAATTAACTCTAACAAGATGTTAATTTGTTATTGATAATAGGTTATTCAAATGTGACTGGTTGATCTTTCTTCAATTTAATTCGAAAGCTTTTGATGGTCAAATGCACTGCCTAAACAGTGGTGTCAGAGTGTGTAAATTCTCAATTTACATACTTTAGATGGCATGTCACTAGCTACTCAATTAATGCGTAATATATTATTTGTATATAATCCTCAATGGACCATGACCTTTTGGAATACACCTGTGTCTTAGTCCTAGTGTTCCAGCAACTGAAGATAGTTATTATATGCAGGAGGATTGTGAAAACATCCTACGAGCTCGGGAATCCGGGAAGGGTGTTTTAACTGCTCCTTTTCGGCTTTTAAAATCAAAAAGACTGGGGGTTATTCTGACATATGCAGTTTACAAGTCAGAACTTACTTCAAATGCGACACCAGCTGAACGCATCCAAGCAGCCATAGGGTGAACTTCCTGCTAATTATCCATCAGAAGTTTGTAAAACAATAAAAAGAGGCTACTCATCAAGATTGTCTATGCTCAATAGTTCAATAATATTTCCTATTTAACATTTGCAGGTACTTAGGTGGAATATTTGATGTAGAGGCTCTAGTGGATAAGTTACTTCACCAACTTTCAAGCAAGCATTCCATCATTGTCAATGTTTATGATACAACTAATCCTGATGAACCAATCAGCATGTATGGTTCAAACATGACAGGTACTGGCATATGCCATATTAGTACCCTTAATTTTGGCGATCCAGTAAGAAAGCATGAGATGCATTGCAGGTAATTTGCATGACATTGCTAACAAGTATTGCTTTAGAAAGAAACTATACTTTGATATGGAAGTGAACCTGCATAAAGAATATTATATAAACAATTTTTACCGTAAATTAATCAACAGGTTCAAACAAAAACCTCCATTGCCTTGGCTTGCAATAACAACATCAATTGGAACTCTTGTGATTGCTTTACTAGTTGGATACATATTCCATGCTACTGTAAGCCGCATTGCAAAAGTGGAAGATGATTATCGACAAATGATGGAACTTAAAAAGCGAGCTGAAGCAGCGGATGTTGCAAAATCTCAGGTACACTATTTTCTGTTTCCTATGAGGTGCATATTGGCTTTCTACACATTGATGACAGTGATCTTATTGTGATTGATCTACACTCACCCATAATGTCAATTTATCCTGTCTTTTATCTTCAGTTCTTGGCGACTGTGTCTCATGAAATCAGAACTCCAATGAATGGTGTATTAGGTAAGTAAAACATTAAAGCACCATGACAATGACTAACCATGATCAAACACCAACAGATTCTAACTTTCCAGGGATGCTTCAAATGCTTATGGATACTGATCTGGACATAACTCAAGAAGACTATGTTAGAACTGCTCAAGCCAGTGGAAAAGCTCTGGTGTCACTTATAAATGAGGTTCTGGATCAAGCAAAGATTGAGTCGGGTAAGCTTGAACTTGAAGCTGTCCCATTTGACTTGCGGGCAGTATTGGATGATATCTTGTCACTTTTCTATGGAAAGGCTCAGGAAAAAGGACTAGAGGTATCTGAGAGTTATCATAATCTTTTTCTAGAATTTTTGTGTTTCATCAACTAATTCTCTTTTTCTTGGTTGCTGCTTAACTTCACTTGGGATAGTTGGCAGTATATGTCTCTGATCAAGTTCCTGAAATCCTTGTTGGTGACCATGGAAGAATACGACAAATCATCACAAATCTGATAGGAAATTCAATAAAAGTAAGTATTTAGCTTTAAATCAACTGGAAATGTGGATACTAATTGCTTCAGTTGTTCAGAAATGTTCTCATTCTGCAGTTCACAGAGAGAGGACATATATACCTGACTGTTCATCTTATTAAAGAGGTGATGACTTCATTGGATATGGAAACAGAAGCTCATTCCACAAATACCTTGAGTGGCTTTCTGGTGGCGGATAGAAGGCGTAGCTGGGAAAGATTTGAGATCTGCAAGCTAGAATTTCCTGGATCTGATCCATATCTTTCGTCAACCACTTCTGATCTTATAAATCTGATCATATCTGTTGAAGATACAGGGGTGGGCATTCCTCTAGAAGCCCAATCCCGTGTGTTCACTCCTTTCATGCAGGTGGGACCTTCAATTTCTCGCATTCATGGGGGAACTGGTATTGGACTGAGCATTAGTAAGTGTTTAGTTAGTCTCATGAAGGGAGAGATTGGATTTGTGAGTGAACCACAGATTGGTTCCACTTTTACCTTCACAGTGGTCCTCTCAAGAGCATGTACTACCTCAAATGAGTATAAATCATCAGAATTTTATGGGATGAATGCATTGGTAGTTGACCATAGACCGGCCCGAGCTAAGATCACAAAATACCATCTTCAGAGGCTGGGAATAAATGCTATATTGGAGATTGACCCAAATCAAGTTCTTGCTAGATTAACTAGTGGAGGATTGACAACAAAAATGGTGCTTATTGAAAAGGAAACATGGTCAAAAGGTAATAGTATTTGGCCCTCTATAATTAGGAGATTAAAGGATGATCAGTTGGATATCCCAAAAGTCCTCCTTTTAGCAAATCCTTCAAGTTCTGTTAAAAATAATTCTACCAATTCAATGGAATATATCTCAACTATAATCACAAAGCCACTCAGAGCAAGCATGCTTCAAGTCTCTTTACGACGGGCAATGGGTTGTGGAGACGGGGAACCTTCCCGAAATGGCCGGCCTCCCCAGTTGTCATTGCACAGCCTTCTTCATGAGAAGCAGATTCTGGTTGTTGATGACAATATTGTGAATCTTAGAGTAGCAGCTGGTGCTTTAAAAAAATATGGAGCCGAAGTAACTTGTGCGGACAGTGGGAAGAAGGCCATAAGCATGCTCAAGCCACCACACAAATTTGATGCCTGTTTTATGGATATTCAGATGCCTGAAATAGATGGGTATCTCATTTACTTGCTTCATTATGTTTTTTTGTTTCTAAGTCTCATAGTTGTAATTTCCTTTCTGAGTTTTCATTGGATATACCTTCTTTTAAACATGTCTGGGTCTTTTATGTTAGAGTTCAAATTGACTGTACCTGATATTTCTCTGACACTCAACATTATCTTTAGAATGAATTTCCAAGGAAAGTAAATTTTCTGTCCTCTTGTACTCAAAGGTTCTCTGAAAAATGAATTTTGCATGAGATGTAAATGATATGCTCAAATATCAATGTACTTTTATTAATACTTTACTATTTGTACAATTTCTTATTCTAGTTAAGTAAAATGTTTTTTTTTAATTTCTTTAGATTTGAAGCTACTAAAAGGATACGCAAAATGGAAGCTGATACAAATAATCTAATAAAGCATGGAGAAGTTTCAGTTGAGACTTTTGGAAATGTTTTGCACTGGCATGTTCCCATACTAGCCATGACAGCGGATGTAATCCAGGCAACACATGAGCAGTGCCTACGGTGTGGAATGGATGGTTATGTGTCAAAACCTTTTGAAGGGGAACAACTGTACAGGGAAGTTACTCGGTTTTTTAAAACAGTCACGAAAAAGAACCAATAGTGAAGATAAATGTGGAAAATATGTTAATGACAGGATTTTGGAACAAGTGTTCATCCGCTTCAGCATCAGGCACTGTTTGATAGAATATGGAGTTGTTTTGAGAAGTAAGCACCTCTAACTTATAATATTGCCTTTCCTAATCTTTCTGCAAGTGCTTAGCATTTTGAAATATTTTGTTGATACATTGCATTGTGTGAACTTCCTTGAATCTGTTTATATTTCATGGATCTATTACGTATAAATGTATAAGAACCAGGTAAATGATTAAGCAGAAAATTTTCTGCAAAGTTATTTCATAGTTGTAAGGTTTCTTATATTAATTGTTTTCTTAATATTTCTGCAAGTGCTTAGTATTTTGAAATATTTTGTTGATACATTACATTTTGTGAACTTCCTTGAATCTGTTTATATTTCATGGACATATTACAAATAAAATGTATAAGAACTGTGTAAATGATTGAGCAGGCAGCTTGCTGCAAAGTTACTTCATAGTTGTGAGCTAAGAAGCATGGACACGGTAACATGTCATTTTAAAAAAAAGTTAGGATATGGACATGGCGAGGACACATTTTTTTAATATATATATATATATATATATATATATATATATATATATATATAATATTTGATTAACATGAGTTTTATAGTATTTAGATATTTAAATTTTATAGACTCAGTAATGTGAATAAATAAATATCATGACACAAGTTTAAAAAATTAAAATAATCTAAATCTAAAGATTCATGATCCAACTAATCAGTAGCCAAAAATAACTCTGTAAAATCTGAAACAATGCAAAATCTTTAACAATGTAATGGCACTCTTTAATTTTCAAGACAATGCAAAATCTGAAACATAGTAATAATATCTGAAACATAGTAATAAAATCTGAAACATAGTAATAATATTCTAAATAGGTTAATAATATGTTAACAATTTAATCAACAGTAAAAAACCCAGATTAAAAAAATAAAAAATAAAATAGGTTAATAATGTGTTAAAAATTTAATCAGCAGCAAAAAAAAAGATTAAAAAAAAAAATAAAAATAAAAAAGGTTAATAATTTGTTAATAATCAAATAAGTTATTTTTTTCTAAAAAATCTAAACAAAATTAATTTTCCTTTGTTGGACACTAAACGCTGTTGAGGAAGAAGCTTCGTCGTACGTCGTTTAGGAAGATGGTTCGTCGGATGTCGGTGAAGTTGTTATAGGCCTAGGGATTCACTATCAAAGACTTAGCTAGAATTGCCTAAGTCGTGAGGCACCTTTTCGGCAATGTCATAGTCTTAGCTGGAATTCATGAGGCACCCTTGTGTCAATGTCACGGTCTTAGTTGGGGTTGCCCAAGTCGTAAAATACCCTTGCGTCAATGTCATAGACTTAGTTGAGATTGCCTAAGCCATAAGGCTCCTTTGTGTTATCTGTCCGCAAAGGGTCAGTCTAGTTGCGATCTCGCTTAGGTCCCGTAGGACCTGCAAAAGAGCAAATTGCTTAGTTCAAAAGTGAGTGGTGAACAAGTCCCAACGTCTTGCAAAGAAGCTAGCTTTACTAGAAATTCAGCAAACACTCAGTGTGCAAGAGAGAAAAGAGAGAAAGGAGAAAATAAGGACTTTAAAAGGTAAACGAACAATCGCAAGTTCGTAAACGATTGCTCACCGGGTGTCGGGCACGATGGCAAGTTCTCGTAGACTTAACATGTGAACTTATGAAATCTAATCAATGCCCAACACTACCCCAAACCCCTATCCAGTCAGGTGCCACCTAGGGGGTTCTAAGGTGCTGAGATGGTTGATGTTTTGTACCGCATCGCAACTTGCAGAAAACAAATCATGACACGTGAAAACTAGGCCATTTTGGGGCAGCTTTACTCGTCATGGTGAGCGGACGCTCTACAATGCTGCAATTAAATTAAAAGTATAAAAGGGATGCACGTAAATTTGAAAATATAAACGACTATAGAGGAGTTTGAGAAAAATTATGGAAAACATTACATATAACATTATTAATAATGTTACTGATGGTGAGATCCATGTAGTTATTTGGAATATATAGAAAATAATAATCCAAATGAAAAGTTGACTATAAGTTGGATCTAAAGCAAAATATTTGTTAGGACTCTAGCTAGGAGAGTCCTAATTGAGAGGGACATTCTGTTAGGACTCTAGCTAGGAGAGTCCTAATTGAGAGGGACATTCTGTTAGGACTCTGTTAGGACTCTAGCTAGGAGAGTCCTAATTGAGAGGGACATTCATGTAAAACCTACCTAAGCCGACCCCTATTAAAGAGTTGAAGAGACCGGCTAGGGTTAGGAGGTTATTTCTTAGAGAAGAATAGGGAGTTGTAAAGGAATAGGAGTCTTGAGTAGGAGTCCTATTAGGAGTTGTTTAGAAGTAGGAGTCTTAAGTAAGAGTCCTATTAGGAGTTGTTTAGAAGTAGGAGTCTTAAGTAAGAGTCCTATTAGGAGTTAGGGTTTAGAAGCCCTATAAATAGTCATGTATTCCACCTCTTTTGATAAGCAATAGATGAATCTTTTCTGCAGCCTTTGAGCAGCAACTTGGAGGGAGGAACCCCTATAGAGTTCCAAGGAGGCCGATCCCCTAAAGAGATCAACCCCAAGTTTAGAATCTGCAAGGGTTCTAACACTTGGTATCAGAGCAGCGTTCTTGGCGTCTCGCTGCCCTTCCATAGCCATCCATCAACCCTCCACAATCGCCCAAAACAATTCCCACAATTGCTTAAGAGATCGTTGCCAAATTCCGCCATCATCTCCACCACCACGGATCATCCTTTGATCTCCCCGTGAATTGCAACAGGTTCTAGTTTTCTACCTTACTGCTGCTGCAATTTAGTTATCCTTATTTGAAAATCCCAAAAAAATTATTCCTATATTGTTGCATAAACTTTTCGTCATAAAGTTTTCATCTCTACGACGAAAGATACATTGCAGAATTCCAACCGTATAGCACCGTCTTTTTGATCTTGCTACTGTGTTTTTTCTATCCAAATCTCTTCGAAATTTTTATGACATCTTTGACACTTCCTAACAGCAGATTTTTCTTTGGTTTTGTCAAAAAATTCTCAATATAAACCATTGATATTTTACGTCTAATCTGCTATACTTGAAAATCTGCACTATAAAATTTCAGCCACATAGCACTGTTTGTTTGATCTTGATACTACATTGTTTCTATCCAAATCTCTACGAAATTTTTATGATAGCTTTGACACTTCCTAATAATGGATTTCCCTTTGGTTTCATCAAAAAATTTTCAATATAACCTATTGATCTTTTACATCCAATCTGTTATACTTAAAAATCTGTGCTGCAGAAAATTTCAACCGCATATTGTTGCCTTAACCCATCTATTTGCAATCTTTTTTGAATGAAATTTCTTATACACTTCATAGATTACCTTGGCTTCCATCTATGATTGATCTATTAAGAAATTCATCTTTAAAAACGATTTTGTGTTGCTGCAAATTTTCATCGTAACCCGCTGAAATTTCTCGACGAGAATTCTGTAATCGCAACTTGCACCAATTTCCTTGCTGTTATATTGCCGAAATTTTCTTGATTAAATTAGATATCCTTGCTGTCATATAAACTGTGATTTTGCTATCAATTCCCTCCTCAATTCTCTCAAGTTTTTGGTGGAATTTACGTCGAGAAACCGTTGTTTCTTCGACGACAATTCTACTCTTACAAGACAGCACATACTTGCTGCAACTTCCACTGATTTCTATCAAACCTTTGCTACCATCTACCACAGATCCAAAATTTTCATCTACAACCCTAAAACTCCACCAAACCACACCCTCAAATTGCACCCAAATTAGCCACAAAACAAGCCTAAACCGTAGCCTACATCCATCGATCTAACAACCCTTTCGACCATCAGCTCTCTCAACCAACACATGCCTTTAACCCAACAACAAAAGAGAGATCTTAACATCACAGATTTGGTGGCATATACTATGGCATCTGAGGAGGTAATCAATGCTAAATTCGAAGCCTTCGAGGCACGAATGGAGGATAAGATTCGGACCCTCTTTACCGAACTTAGATTTGGCCGACCACTAAGCCCGAAGAAATCACATCAAGGAGAGAGCTTTGCCCAATCGCACCAAGCCCAAAGATATGACTTCCAAGAGAGGGGAAGCTCTATGACCAACCCCAACTATCCATGCATGAGAGTGGATTTCCCTAGATGGGAAGAAGGAGACCCGATTGGTTGGATCTCGCGTGCGAAGCAATATTTTCGGTACCATAAAACCGCAGATGCATTTATGGTG